TCAAGAGCTCTCTGAAAGGTTTCTGGTGAAACAAGAAACAAAATTAGAGCCAATGGATAGATACTGGGGAGAAGCAGATTTCAGTTCAAAGTAAGAAAAGAACACTTTTAGCCATGAGAGCTATCACAAATGGAAGGAAGGTGCTCCTGTGGGAGGTTGCAATCTCCCTGTCTCTGGGAGAATTCAAGTACGGGCTAGGTGAGAATTACAAGGAGAGTCCTGAATTAGGTGGGAGGTTGAATTTGATGATTTCTGAGGTTTCCTCGAACCCTGAGACTCTAGGATCCTATGACTTTTTACCTTCCTGACATCTCATATTTACTATTAAGGCAACTAACTGAATCTTAACCAAAGTAACTTCGAGATGGGAGAGAACGTGGTAAAGAGTGATCTTAAGTCTTTATATACTAGGAAGATGTTATAAGATCTTATTGGTGGATACAAGTTTCCCAAAATTCTAACTTTCACTTGAAAGTTTAAATTTATCATTTACAGCAAATGCTTACAGGTTGTCTTTCTTGAAGTTTCACTTAATTTTGGAGAAAGTGTCTGCCAAAATTCCAAGTTAGTTGTTCTTTTAAGATGATGTTCTATGAAAAAAGTGGCTACGTCAGTTTGCAACTCAATCACGCAAGTGCCTCACCTCTTCCGAAGACAACCATTACATATGGTTATTTTAAGGACAGAAAAACTGAATTCACAGAGGTTAAAAGACTTGCCAAAGGACACACAGCTAAAGCTAGGATTTGAATCTAAATCCTTCAGTCTTCAAAGTCCATGCTTTTCTCATTATGTTACCTTGAAACCAATAAACAAGTGCATATCCCCAAATAAAGGAAGGAAGATAAAGAACTAAACACGACTTGTTATAATAATTAAGGGCATCAGGGTACTGCTGACTTCTAGGTTTCTCCAATAATCCTTAGTTAGGAATCTTAGCTGCCCAAGAGTTCATTATCAGATCTTTCCTCTCCACAGCAACAACACAGCATATGGAATTGGAAACTGGTCCATAAAATGTAAGTCCAGCTTTGTGTGTGTGTGTGTGTGTGTGTGTGTGTGTGTGTACATGACAAAGAACATGAGCAATGGAAAAGAAACAAGAATCGGAGGAAACTCATTTAGTTTATCAGTTTCCTGGACTGGGATCTTGTTTTCATTCACAGCAGTGTATCATTGGCCTTGGCATAGTAATTTAGAGGATGTGTTCTTTATTAGCTTTGCTCAACTTGGCTGGGTTCAGCTATGTGCTGCCAGCTGGGCTGATGCCAAGGCTGAAACTCCACTGCTCTAAATTCCAGTCGATGTAATACATCATGGATTACCTCCTGCTCCTATCTAGCTGAGTTAACACCTTCCGTTCCCCATATCTAGCTCCTTCTTTCCCTCCTGACTCATATTCCCACAGCATGAAAAAGGACCTCTGCAACTATAAAGACATTTCACGTTTTTCTGGGGACTTTCCAGGCTGGTAAATCTGGAGAGCGTGGGAAAAACAGAAAGATAATAAAATCGTGCATGATAGGACTCCAGCCAACTTCAAAAGTCTCATATTACTGAAACTCAAAGGAGTGAGTGACCTTAGTTAGCTGTCTGGGGCAATAAGAAAGAGGATTCAGGAGCAATTCCAGCAAGCTGAGGTCTATGTATTCTCAAAAGATGGTCTGCTAATGTGCTGGTCAAGTCTAGGCCACTTGGAGAGGTGGTAAAAAGCACACTGTGATGAAGCACCTGCTAGTCAGTCACACAGTCAAATGAACACATTCCAGCCTTTCTTAGCATCAATCTATTTGAAAAGCTTACAGTCAAACTCCTGCCTTCCTGCCATATCACCCTAATAATCTTCTGTTTTTCTTTGCTCTGTTTAAGTTTGCCAAGTTTCCCTCACCTTCTTGATACACATGAATGTTTATGTTTTGTTTCCCAGTAAGTCATCACTGAGATTCAGAAATTCTCACTTATAACGGTAATATCTCCTCAAAAATCATCTAGGGAATTAAGGAGAAAATGTAATACGTAGAGTTTATATTACTGGTTTCCAAGATGACTTTCTTAAGACTCCCTATACTTATTTAAAATATGGGATTTTTGCAAGTTGATTCATATTGATCCTGGCACACAGTAGGTCTTAATTAAAGTCTGCCAAAGAAAACTACACGGGTCTAAGTATTCTCAAGAAAACAGTAGGTGTGGTCAAATTTATGAGCTGCCTAAGTCACATCTCACTATTTCCAGGAGTTTGAGAGATGCCAGTTGTTTCATTGTATGTGCCAGAAAATTGCTACCATTCTCAGGCATCTGTGGTTAGTGAAGGCAAGAGAAAGAACTGAGCAGAGCCAAGGGCCAGCTTAAGGAAGCTGGAAGAGAGGCATGGAACAGGTTTTTCTGTCCTTTAAGCAGCTATAATTAAATCAGTGAGAGAACCCAGATCCCCTGCTTCGTAACCTAGTGCCACTCATTTCATTTCCCCATATTCCTATTTCTATTTATGTACCATCAGCATACAATCAAGAGAAAACCAGTTCTGGGAGTACTAGCTCACTATACAAACCTCATCTCATAAATACACGTATTTTTCCTGGCCAGAATACGAGCACTTAAGTGCCACTGTGTGCAGTTCTCTTTTCTTGGAGTGTCTAGACATGTAAATTCAGATACAATTAACAGAGAGGGGGCACCTACTCTGTGCTCCTTGGTTCTATGCATTTGCACACCCATTCTCTTCTCATTTCACTCACTCAGTCAACCTGGGAAGTACGTACTTCTCTTTAACCTCCATTGAGCCCAGCACTGCTAATGTGAAGCTGCTCTATAACTGTTGGGTAGATGGCTGAATGAAGGCCAGAGTTTTCAGATGTGATTAGGGTACAAGGTCAAAGCTGGAATAATGACAGAGATTGTGTGTGTGTGTGTGTGTGTGTGTGTGTGTGTGTGTGGAGGGAGGAGAAGTGTATATAGACGTAAGACGAACGGTACCGAACGTAAGTAAGTTCTAGAGTAAGTAAAGGTAAAACGGAAACAGTACAAGACGACCGAAGG